TTTAACATTTTCTAATGGTGGTGTGCCTCGTGATTTTTTTCATGAAAAAAGTGTGCCTTTGCACAAAAAAGGTTGAAAAACACTGTTCTAGAGCACCGTGACCTTCAAAATGGTCTACGCCACACTATACTACAGTTCACTACCCTGACGTCCTTATTTAGAGAAGAAGCAATTATGATTAAACAAAATATATTTTATTGGCATTATTTCATGATTGGGATTGGGATTGTTAGAATGTACTCTCCTTACTTCTACATTATCTTTCTGAGTGTGAAAAGATGAGTCCAAAGTCTTTGGCAGTTGGTTACCAGCCTTGTGAACACTGATAATTCTTTTTTGAGGTCTGCAGAAATTTGTTTTGAATGGGACATGATTCATTTCTACAACTATCAATCATGAAATGCAGACTGAGGGTGCCTGCCATCAATATTTTAATGGGAAGAGCCCCTCAAACTCAAGTGTCGGATTATCATCTCAGTGATTGGAACACCTGGTTCAACTTTTCCCTTAAGATAGTTGGTTAGTATAATAGGATTTAGATCATGGCATAATATTCTTCAAACAGGTCATTAGGACAATTTCTCATATTTTTAAACCACATGTATCATATTTTCTACTAAATTGTTTTAAACACATGCTTACCTCATCAGTGTGTAAAGAATGAGGCAGGGTTGGGGATGATGCAAATGGTGGTGGGGAGATGACCTTCCTTTCTTCCAGCTGAGCCATAATTTCCTTTCGCCTTCGATGCAATTCATCTAAACTCGGGTGTGGCTGAGGGGGAGCACGAGTGTAATGCTCCTGGAGGTTTTTTAAAAAAAATGCAGGTATGAAGATTCCTGTATTCTACAAATGAATTTAAATCTACAATCCCAAAGTTACAAGATACTCTAGCAAAGCAGCAACATTATTTCAATACAGGTTTCTCAGAAATCCCCCCCTTCTTAGATTCATTAACGTCTGTTGAGTCATTATCAATTTCATAAGGCGAAAAGGGCAAAAGCGAAAACTGTTCTGCTAAACAGCATTTTTGGAGAAAATTAGGAATGCTACCTTACATTTCCACAAAATTCATGTAAGTTTTTAATATTTTAACATTTTATATTTAAGTTTTGATTTCTTTAAAAATGAAAACATACCAAATTAACCACCTTTTTGGTGACTGAAGGAACGGAAAGCTATTACAATCCAAATGATACATTTCCAGGTTTCGAATCTGATAATCTGTTAGTTATATTGCTAAATGTATTAATGTGCTTTCTAATAATTGATACTGGTTTTCCATGAACGTTTGACTATAGTCTTTACCTGATTATATTTAGTGACCAAAAGAAAGGTCACCAAAGCCACATATATAGGAAGCAATCTTGCTTCATTAACACTTATACAATCAGAAAACATAAATATGAGTAATCTTAAATAGATGTTTACAATCTGCTCAGTTTCACTTTGAAGAAAGTAGGAGACCACAAAAGTTAACAGTTCATTGTCTGCAGACATTAGAACACAGCTGCAATTTATATTCTACTATTTACTGGCTATCCAGATATTTAAAACTCACATTGGCCTCTCAGAGATACACAGTCACTTTGTGTCTCTAAACTCTGGAATGTTCCAAAGCAATATATGCCGACTGCTATATAGTTATTCTTATTCATTGCTACACATCAGAAATATTCTCTCTCTGTTTGGTATGTGTATCTGTGAATGAATGGCTTCAGCAAAGCAAAGCTTTAAAAAATCCTCTAAAAAATGAAAGATAGAAGTACTTAGGCTATTTTTTTAAGCCAGGGGTCTCCAACCTGTGGGCCACGGCCCAGGACAAGGCCTATTTGCAAACAGGTGGTGCGTGCGTACATGCACGCAATCTGACTCACACGAGCAGTGGGCGTTGGCACTTGCAGCCATTTGAGTGGTGGGCACCAGTGAGCAAGTGCCTGCTGCTCACACAAATAAACAATGTGAGCGCGCGCACTTGCCTGTTCTGACCTAGGCTTCCCAAGAGGATGAAGCAAACTCCTTGTCATGACAAAAACCCCTTTGATTGGGGTTTGTGAATTCTGCTCATTCACATCCAGCAAAGTCTTTTAAGGGAGTATTTACAGTCACAGACGTTATCTGGATTAAAGCGCTGACAGGCCGATGTCTACAAAACTTGGCAAGGAGCCTCGGAGAGTCACGAACCAATTAAGCAAATTAATTGTCTCCTGAAAACTCCACTCCCCTTTCACTCCTCTTTTATTTCCTCTGGGAGGGGACATTCATTGTCTACCTGTGGCCTTACTCCCAAGTTGACCCCTGTTCTTTAGCTGTTCCCTTGTCTGGCAACTCTGGACATGCGCATACTGGGAACAGGCTCCAGCTGTTCGTCTGCCTCACTGATGTCTGACTCTGGAGGCAGCTGGTAAGTGGCACACGGCTCTGGCCCCCTCCGACACAGAGCCTTCTTCACAGCTTTCCCCAGACTAAAGGGCTGGCCCAGGTTCCTCCCCAACCTCCTCACTGTCTGAATCTGCTGCCAGGTCTGCTAGCCACTGGCGGGCCACAATACTGCCCCTCAAACAAAACCATCCCCTCTTCCCCCCTAATCCCCCACCCAAGGCTACCAACTAGAAAGGTTGGGGAACACCGCTTTAGGTCATTGCAGAATAAATTCTGGTCTTCCTGCAAACTGAATTCTATTCTGGAATTTGAGAGATGGAGAATTGCAGTTTTGTCCTATTTCTTGATTTACAACAATCAATTATAGGTTTTTAATGCCTTGAACCTCCCTCATTCTTTTCAGAAGCAAAATTAATTTTAAAAAACAGAGATAAATTTAAAATTTCAATTTTCAATTTAAATTGTGAAATGTGCACATCTTGGCTTTGCTTGCAATATTTATATTTTGCTAGATTTTTAAAACTAAACTCAGAATATTAATTAGAGGTACTTAATGAAGCTATCTACCTGTAAAATGGGACAATTGCTGCAAGAATTAAATCTAAAAATGGCATTAAACATTACTATTACCATAATCGTAAAATAAAAAAAATGTATCATACTCTATGATATGAAGGTCTAATCTGATTCAGATGTGGTCCAACTGGATAGTAGCCCTCCACTTGTTGGTATCTGTCTCTTGTTTCAGGTACGTATGGTGATACAGCAGGTGGAGAAATTTCAATTGGAACAGGACTTCCTCGGATAATATCTTCCCGTTGGTATGGCTGAGCAGCAGGATAAACACGTCTGCTGTCATAATGGGGAGGATATACAGGTTGACTCATGGGAGGGTATTGCTGTGGCTGTGCACTGTATTGTGAGTTCATGATGCGATCTTGGAGATAGGGTGCATAATGTTGTTCTACAAAAGGAGGACCTGGTTCAGGAATAGATGATGGGGGTCGGACGAATCGAGACATACACTGTAGTGATTGAGCTGGAGGATAATATACACCTAAATATATGAAACAAGATTTAGAACAATATTTAGTCCATTGTTTTAACTACTTCAGAGACTCAGAATAAAATAAAATAAAATGTCAGTTAAGTTTTCCCCACTTACATCTGAGGACATACATTTATTTTTGCAAACTACATCTGTCGTAAAAGATGATGGAAAGCATCATATTCTGATGATAGAATTTAACTAATATTTACTATTCAACCACAAAAAGAGAAAATCGTATTTTATTTCAAGATCAAATTTCATGTAGATGGAATTTACCTGCTTGATAGGTTGGAGGCTCAAATGGGGGAGCTGTTCCTCGAGGATCTGGATAGAACACATCAGTTTGCTGAGCTGGGTACAACTGGGAGCCTCGGGGAACTATTTGGAGCTGCTTGCCTACTGAAATTGGAGGCAAGTCTGTAGGTCCTCGGGGGGGCCCTGGGTGGGAGCTCTTGGAAACGGGTTCCAGCCTAGATGAGACAAACACAAAGTTGCAGCAATTACAACTTAGTATAGATATGGTTTTATTGTTGCTGTGTGCTCCCATTTACGTGTGGGAAACTTAGAAGGATTTCTCTCCCAAATATTGCTAACGGTGATTGATGATGACAAGCAGCAGTTTCCAATGACCTGAGAGAGGATTTCTAACAGCCCTACATCTTGGAAATGACCTTAGGATCACCTGATTCCAAGCACATGCTCTTCTGTTGTATTTTGCCATTAATTTAAGCATCCCACCCTTACGTTCCTCACTGCAGGAAACCCCATGCACTTTTTCTAATATCAGATGGTTTTTATAATGCCACTTCATTTTTATTTATTTGATTATGTTGCCCACCTTTATTACTTTTACAAATAATGTGGCAAACATATCCAACACATCTTTCTCCTCCTATTTACCCACAAAAACAACCGTGTGAGGTGGATTGGCCCGAGAAGAACTGGTTCAAGTTCACACTGCTGGCTTTCGTGGCTAAGGCAGGATTTGAACTCATGACTTCTTGCTTTCTAGCCTGGCGCCTTAACTATTACAGCAACAATCTTACAAAGATTACAATTTGTTTTCTTATCCAATGTAAGCAGAAATCTCAATAGTGGCACCGCTTGAGCGTGACCAGGTTTAGAAACTAAGGAAGGCTGGCACAGTCAAATTTTGGATGGAAACTTTCAAAGAAATATTACAGTGGTTGGTCAAACTGGGAAGTTTTAAAACAGTGTTTTGAAAGAAAACCATTGCAAATTACTTCCACATTATTAGCAGTATATGAACATGAACAGGAATCAAATTCAAGTTTAGGGAGTTTTTATATGTTGAATACAGGTTAATCTCCTAGGCCAGGGGTCTCCAACTTCTGGGCCACGGCCCACTACTGGGCTGTGAGCTCTTTGCAACCATGCTGTGGAAACAGCGAGTGAACATGTGCTCCATGTTCCATTTGCATGAGCGGTGCTCATGTTTGCTGGCCCTAGCAGGGAATGATCCCCCCCACCCCCCAGCGGTCCACAAAACTGGAAAAATTGGGGAACTCTGCCCTAGGCTTTGATTCTGAAAAAAATGACTTACAGATAGAAAAAGTTGTACATATCAAATTATATACAAGCTGCCTGTAAGAATCAGTGCAGAAGTATATACTCTGTATTTTGAGCACATACAATTTTGGCATGTGGAAGCATGTGTGGATTACTCTTCTGCAAAGCTAATTTATATTGTCAAATTCTAAGAGATAAACAAAATAGAAGCATACAAATCAGGAGGTGATCCAGGAGCACTACTACTATGGTGGTCCATCTTCCCAGATTTCATGACCGAGTCGTAACTGGAGTCAGTTCCACGAGAGATAAGTTGTGTCACTGTACTGCCTGGTGAAACAATCCCATTTGGCAAGGTAGAGGGTTTCCTATTGGGTAAGTCCACTGTTGCTTCATCTGAGATAATAGCTGCTGCTGGCAGGCCCACTTCATTTAGTTGACCCAAGGAGGCACTCAAAGGTCTTCGAGGAACTAGACGTTTGTTCATCTTGCGAAATCTTCAAGAAAAAAACATATGGTAATCAATCAACAAAACAAAAGGAATTGTTGCAGTTGCTACAGGATACATTTTAATTCAGGCCCAATATTTACAAATATTATAAATACATGTGGATTGCATACAACTAGATAATACAAGTAGCCCTTGAATGACTATGGTGATTGGGATTGGAATTTCTATTGCTACACAATGCGGTTGTAAAATATGGCATCACATGACTGCATCACTTAGCAACCAACCCAGCACTCCACGTTCCCATGATTAAATGAACTCCACCAGTTGTTAGCTGAGGACCCATCCCAAGTCAAGCCATTCTGAGTTTGATCCCTCCCAGTCCCAAGCTTTAGTTCTTCTAAGGTAAAGGACTGCCTCCTCCCAACATCCCTCTCCCCATCTGCATCTCTGGCTGCCCTACATCCTGCCTTGACTGCAGCAATGGATGACCCCCCCCCCCCCGGGATGAGTCCCACCACTGTTGTATCATCTGCAAATTTAATAATAGTATTCCTGGCGTGAACGGGAATGCAGTCATGTACATAAAGAGTATAGAGTAAGGGACTCAACATGAAACCCTGTGGTGTACCAGTGTTAAAAATAAGGGCTGAGGAGATATGATGCAGAACTAAAATCTACAAAAAGCATCTTCACATAGCCTACCCCCATTCCAAATGAGTCAGAGCAGTGTGAAGAGTGATGTCTATAATATCCACGGTAGATCTATTTGTTCTGTATGCAAACTGGTGTTTATCAAATGTATGCGGAAGACCAGAAATGAAGTGCCGACAGACTAGTTTCTCAGAGCACTTCATGATGATAGGAGTGAGTGCCACTGGTCTGCAATCACTGAGGTTATTGATAAGGAACATTTTTTGGCAGCAACAATATAGATGATAGACAATGATGGGAAAAAAACAATGAAAAACATTAAGTTCCAACATTAACAGGGGTAAGATGAAGATGACTTTGTATGTTTCTGAAAGGACTGAGAGAGAGATGAATTACAAAAGACTAAAAGGATTAGAATGCTAGCAGGTGGGCAAGCAGCTAATTGATGCTTATCTCGGATCTTTAGTTCAGAATAAAAAACAGTAATGTAACACAAAATTTCCCACATGTCGACTGCACATCTTTTAACTCAGCCTTCAAGTATGGCCGTATCACAACTTATTTGCAGTAATTGTTTCCTAATGATCTACTACCTCAGAGTTACCCAACTTTTCCAGCTTTGCGGACCAGTGGTGGTGAGGGATGGTTCCATGCGACTGGCTAGTAAGTGTGTGTGCACAACTCCATTTGTGGGAGCAGCAGGCACATGTCCCACTTCTTGCGCACATGGAGTGCACACACTTGCCTGTCACTTCTGAGCCCAGTTTCTAATGGATCACGGCCCAGTAGTGGGTTGCAGCCTGGGTACTTGGGGACCCTGCACTATGTCAATTTTTTTTTCCTGAGCTATTCACCAGGATTCCAAACTTATTTATTTATTTATTTAGTAGATTTATAGGCCGCCCAATCCCGGAGGACTCTGGGCGGACTTTGGGGTTATTAATTATTGCCCATTTTTTTTCAATTGTATTACTTCTAAATAGGAAACTCTACGACAAATGAAGATGAAACACATCTTGAGATCTCATCTCATATATTGTTTAAATTATCAACAAATACAATCAGAATCATGTCATAAGATAAAACATTAAAAATAGAGATTGGAAATAAAATAAAATCACATGGTCACAAATTGTAAAACAGCAAAAATCCAAAACTGATCAAAGTAGGCAAGAAGATATTTTTTTGTAGCTGCTTTTAAGGACTACACTTGCTCAAAAACATCTCTTCCCAACTCACATTTCTCTGATAAATTCATCCTCAAATGTAAAGATGCTGAATATTTCATTGCTCAGCCCAAGTGGAATAAATTAAGGATCCAGTCCTTGGCTTCCTGAATAGTCAGGGAAATGATTGAAGCCTGGGAAATGGGCCCCTTTCAGTAAATAGAGGAGTGCTGATTTACCGCCAGCTTATCAGGTTCTTAGGAGCTGAGGACTTGGAAGTACAAGAAATAGCCAACAACTTAATAACCGGCCATCAACACCCTAATCAACAACTAAAAAGTCACACACAACCAGTCATCACATAAATACTATGCCTAGAATAACCTAAAGCATACATTCTGATGAGACAGAAGTTCCCGGAGGATGGATTTCCAGCGTGAGTCCAAAAGCTCAGAAGACTAAAACTCTGGTCCTAGTGACGGATCCAGATTGGATCCTGCAACATTATCTTGGGACATGTATATTTGCTTTCACTTGTGAAATAAATTCCTCTTTAATAATATTTTAATAATTAAAACCGAAGTTCAATTAAATATTTTTTTTATAATTTCTTAAATATCTTCTAAAACAATACAACCATAGTATCTTGTATCTACAGGTAAATTTTAAAAATTTACTTTTTTTTGCTTATAATACCAGCAATTCCTAATTAGAATTTTAAAAAAATCACCAAGATTGATGCATCCAGATGAATATATTATTAATAAAATGCTACTGTATGATTTGCTGTTTCCCGGTTTTTGCTTGAATGATCAAAGCTTTTACTATTCTGATCCTCTGAGGATGACTCAAATTGAACTGAATGATTCCAAATTTAAGCTCATATATAATATTTAAGGTAGAAGTACAACAATGGCATGGAACTTACTTTTCTAGTTCTTCCTGTGAGTGTGCAAATGTGCAGCTGGCCCCACGGGGGCATTCTCTTCTCTGTTTCATATCTCGACACATATACGTCTTGTACTTGCTGTGCTGAGGTGGCTAAATTAGATAAAAGAACACAAAAGATTATTTGGAAAATAATTCTCCAAAATAAACAGAACCCCCCCAAAAAAATATAGAAAGATATCTTTGTTAAAAATGACATGAGTGACTGTGAGTGACTAGGTTTTATGACTGTAATTGTCATCAAAATAATAGCATATAGAAAATAAAATACCAGTTCTGTTCATATAAACATGTGCAAGATCATCCTTTATGTACTGATACAATAGATTATTTAAAAAAGAAAACTCAATCATATCATTTAATTTAATGAATATTGTAGATAGGGATAAGTAATAATATAGTACACTAACCTCATAGAAAACTAAGTAGTTGACTGAGCCTGGCTTCAAAGAATGCCTAAAATCTATTATCTCTTGTGGCAATTTGTTATCTTACATGCAATTTGAAAGAATAAACAACTGTTTTAGTTCAAAAAGGAGCCCTTGGTCTAGGTCAGGGGTGTCAAACTCAAGGCGGGGCCAGCCTGGAAATATCAAAAGGACTGGCCCGCAGTGCCTTTGCTGGCTAAAACGGGCCATGTGTGGCCTCTGTGTGGCCCGTTTTTGGCCGGCAGAATGCTGCTGGAAGCCGAAAATGGGACACAGAGTGCTGCTGAAGGACTGCATTGGACTGGATTACAATTATGTGGCCACAAGTAAGTGCCTGATCTGGATAGAAAACAAGCAACATCCTATGTTAATACTACAGTTTAATGCCAGATTTTACATACTGTAGGTCCATTTAATCTACAATCTATACCATTTCTCTTTACTACCCTGGAAATTTACCTCTGCTGTTAGATCTTGTATTATCATGTTATTTATACTGTTGTATTTTTATTATTAGTTGAAAATATATATATATTTAAAGTCACAACCCCTGGTATGCCCAAATATGGGAGGAAGGTCACACTTCCACTCTCTGTCTTCGGCTCGTCACAAGAGACCATCCAGACAGAAACCCAATATTTTTTACTGTTGCCTTTTTGTTACATTTGTTATATTTATGCTGATAAATAAATAAAGGGAGACTAGTATAGATCTATTTCTATTTCTCATCAGCTAGCCACACCCTTGTTGGGAATATATAAATATATATATATATATATTTAAAGTCACAACCCCTGGTATGCCCAAATATGGGAGGAAGGTCACACTTCCACTCTCTGTCTTCGGCTCGTCACAAGAGACCATCCAGACAGAAACCCAATATTTTTTACTGTTGCCTTTTTGTTACATTTGTATATATAAATGGCTCTGTGTGTGTATGTTCCAGCATAACTCTGGAATGCCTCAAGCAATTTCAACCAAACTTGGTACACAGATGACTTACTCTGGAGAAAAATACTGTGGGGGTAAGACACCCCTAAGTATTGTGTTCTGTTAAGATGCAGTCTGTTGTGCCTTTAAATGGCTTCTACTGTACTGCCGTAAAATGGCTTCTACTGTACAGCACAGTGAAGTTGCCATGGTAACGGCTTCACAGTACTCCACAAGGGGGCTCCCTCTGGTAAGGGGGAAAATCCAATGTTAGAAATTACGTTTGGTCCAGACATTTTCCCCCTATAAATAAATAACCGGGCAACGCCGGGTTATCGGCTAGTAATTAAAATACAATAGTATAAATAGCTTTACTGCCTGGAAAAGCAATTTAATATTAAACAATAGGGTATAAATTTATAAATAAAAAGTTTAGTGGAGTAATAAATGTTTGCCAGTAATATCTGGTAGAAGAGATAGGAAAATGGTTATAGTAAAGAACTGTGGAAAGAAGGGGAAAAATGCGCCTGTGTAAAACGCCCACCATGGCCATGCCCCTCCACTCCCCGGCAACCACCCCCTTTCATCCAAGATCAAACACAATCCTGATGCGGCCCTCAATGAAATCGAGTTTGACACCACTGATCTAGGTGCACTTTTCCCAAGCTCTGCACTATATACCAGCAGTCTCCAATCTTTCTTGTTTGGTGGACTGGCAGTGGTGGTGGTGGTGGTGGTGAGGGAAGGGGATGGCTGCAGACAGGCAACAGAGTGGTTGCTATTCACTATACCTGTTGCTGATCTGCTCCTTTTTTGCTGTGATTCTGGATGTAATCAACCAGTCCATGTACCACAGTCCGTACAGCAACTAATCCATTCTCAAGTTGTTCCCACGTCGGCGGTGGAGCATCTACAGTGTTTAGAAGAAGAAAAAAAAAAACCTGAATTTTTCTCAGCAATGGGAAATTTTATGGAACAAAAAAATCTTTCATCATACAAACCATTCCATTTTTTTATGACATGAAAAATTTATGACATTTACAAGGATGTAATGATACACAAGAATTAAAATTTAATTTTGAAAAGCAAATTAGTTTCTTTCATGACAGGAACAGGATCCTCTGGCCATTTATTTAGTTCTTTCTTTTTCAAAATAAACTTAGTTGGTTTTACATGGTGATTTATGTTAGAGGTTTTTGTTATATTTCTGCACTGGGCTTTTCTGGCAAGAATACAATACATACCGTATTTTTTGGAGTATAAGACGCACCAAGATTTTGAAGAGGCAATTTTTTTAAAAAAGTAAGTAGGTAGAGGGATAGAGAGGAAGAGAAAGAAAGAGAAGTACAGTAGGTAGGTAGGTAGGTAGAGAGAGAGTAGTTAGGTAGGTAGATAAAGGGATAGAGAGAGAGAGAAATAGAGAGAGAAATATAATAGATAGGTAGGGAGGGAGAGAGTAGGTAGATAGAGGGATAGAGAGAGAGAAAGAGAGAGAAATACAGTAGATAGATAGGGAGAGAGAGTATGTAGGGAGAGGGATAGAGAGAGAGATAAATACAGTAGGTCGGTAGGGAGAGAGAGCGTGTGTAGGTAAGTAGGTAGGTAGAGGGATAGAGACAGAGAAATAGAGAGAGAGAGAAATACAGTAGATAGGTAGGGAGAAAGAGAGTAGATAGGTAGATAGATAGAGGGATAGAGAGAGAGAGAAATACAATAGATAGGTAGGTAGAGAGAGAGAGAGTCGGTAGGTAGGTATTTCTGCCCTCCCCAGCCCCCAGGAGCTCTCTGAAAGCCTTCATAAGGCTATGCACGGCCATTTTGGTGAAGGGGCGGGGCTTTGGAGGCAAAAAAATGCTGTATTCGATGTATAAGACGGAGCCAGATTTTCAGTCTCTTTTTTGAGGAAAAAAGGTGCATCTTTTACTCTGAAAAATACGGTACATAAAACAATAAAATAAATATATCATAAAATAACGAGCTTTGAAATTGTCATGAAATTTTTGCTTTCCTAAAATTATGTTTATGTGATTTTTGAGGTTATACAGTATCACCTTCAGGGAATGGAAATTTTATGTAAAACAGAATGTGCAGTCAGCACTAAATTTTGATTTATAAATAGATCTCCAAAAATTGTAGTCTACATACAGGAAAAATTTGGAACTGCTGCTCAAAAAATATCGTTTCATAAAATTGATGAAACTGGCTCCAGTGCACAGAAGTTTATGACCTAATAAATATATTAGTCTTAAGATAATATAAAAACTGTTGTCTGCTTGCCCATCTACCCATCCAAATTTACCTGGACTGGGATCAATATTTGCAAGAAGTTCAAGATGGGGTCGAAGCCGGGTCAAATTAGCTGGATCACCAGTCCTCTGGAGAGCAATTGTTAATTCCTGAACACTCTGTGCAAAAGAAGCTGGGGTCTGCAACTTAACACATTCACATATTAATCATTAGAAAAACTTTCTGTCCACATGGACACCCCAATCAAACCCCATGGGAAAATACATGTTAACATTATCTTAATTGTTTGTCACTTGATATAAAGCACTTTGTCTTCCAAAATTTGGGGTCTTCTCCAGAAATAATGCACTAATTCCTAATAATGGTAGAAAAGAGTATACAAAGACACTAAAATGAGTTTTCAATCAAGAAAAAAATGCTATTGTAAGATGACAAAAGTGAAAAAATGATTAACCTCTGGTATCTTTTGCACTCATCCTTCCATTTAAACAATATCATTATTAGTTACGTATAAACAAAGATGTAGTTTCTTTTGCACTGCATACACATGAGTTCCCTCATAGGCTCTGGGTCTCTCAATAGGCTCTATTTACTTAGTCACAGGAGTAAATGCATATTAAAGTGGATGAAAACTTCCACATTCTGAGTATCAAATCCTGAAAAACCAATTAAGATTTGCTTTATTTTATCAGGATTAAATTCTGCATGGAAAAACAGCATGCAGAAAACTCTTGAATTTTATTTATCAAAATTAATCCGTAGTTTCATAATACAGTAACAGGGAAAAACTGCAGTGCTTTCCCCAAAGTTGGGCTGTCAGAGACTGCTTCTACATTATGCTCTCATACAAGCCCAGGCCTCCAAAGTCATAGACTAAAGCTAAAAATTACTCCTGAAATTGTATTATGCTGCCAAATCATTTTAAGTACTTGCCTCATGCAGCTTTATATAAGTGCTCTTTAGCATATTTTTTTTCAAATATAAGTACCTTCCAAAGTAGTACTTAGAGCAACAATCAATCTTAGCTCTAACTTAAGAAATGATATAGGGTTGTTTTTATTTTTATTCAATGAGTTAATAACATTCAGGAACATTATTACTACTAGAAATAAATGCATTTTATATTTGTTCCTATATAAAACCGTCTCAAAGAGATTTACAAAATATAAAATATACAATAAAATAATAAAACAGTTTTAAAGTAAATAATAATTTTAAATGTTCAGTTGACTGAGCTTCATGTTTAATGAAAATAATAATAATAATAATAATAATAATAATAATAATAATAATAATAATAATAATAATAATAATGGTGATGATGATTTCATTGTCATTGGGGCACTTGGCACCATGTCCAACAATTTTACAAGATACATCAACAAATTGCAGCTTCCTGCAATAACACCAGCGGAACTGCAAAAACTGTGCTACTCGAACATCTTATATTTTAAGAAGGTACTTGGTTAATACCTAGGACACTGGCAGCAAACAGTATCAACCATTAGCACCAGTCACTGGTATTTGTAATGCATTTTTGAATGTTCAGTTGGCTGAGTTTCATGTTCAATGAATAAATTATATAATAATAGAAATAAAAAGTATTCATCTGGAATTCACAGAAAATTCCAAATATCAAAATAGGTTAAAAAACCCCCCACTATTTTAGGCTATAATAGCAATAACACTTAGACCTATACACAGTTTTACAGTGCTTTTACAGCTCTCTCTAAGGCATATTGCCCCCAACAATCTGGGTCCTCATTTTACTGATCTCGGAAGGATGGAAAGCTGAGTTAACCTTGAGCCTGGTGAGATTCGAACCACCAAATTACAGGCAACTGGAGGTCAGCAGAAGTAGCCTGCAGTACTGCATTCTAACCACTGCACCACCACAGGTCACAATAGGCCTTAGGTCTAAAATGGTGAAAGAGGTTCCCAGGTATTTTGGATCAAAGCTAAATTCTACAAGGAGGATACTCCATTCCCACTACAGGTAGTTCTCAACTTACAACCACAATTGAGCCCCAAATTTCTATTGCTAAGCAGGACAGTTGTTAAGTGAGTTTTGCCCCATTTTACGAACTTTCTTGCCAAGTGGTTAAATGAATCACTGCAGTTGTTAAGTTAGTAACATGGTTTTTGAATGAATCTGGCATTCCCAATAACTTAGCTTGATAAAAGGTCACAAAAGGTTGAACACATGACCCTGGGACACTGCAACCCTCACAAATAAATACATGCCAGTTGTCAAGTGCAGGAATTTTGATCATGTAAGAATTGGTATGCTGTAACACCAGTAAGTGTGAAAAAGAGTCATAAATCACTTTTTTCAGTGGTGGTGTAACTTCAGTCATTAAATGAATGGTTGTAAGTTAAGGGCTACCTGTACAAAATTGGAATAAAAAAAATTAATTGGTGCATTTCACACATAAATGTGAATTTCTCTTCACAATTTTATCAGCATTTTTAAAATTGATTTGAGAAACAAAAGGGTAATAATTTTAAAGAGATACTACCTTGTCAATAATGGACTGCATATGGGATTTGTGAGACTGGTCTCCATATAGCAATGAAGACCACTGATCTGGAGCTATCCGCAAACCAGCCTCCATGGCAATTTGTACAATTTGGGAATCATGTTCTCGTCTCAGAGCTTCATATGTTCTGAATTCTTCCTTCAGCTGCATTAGAGAGGAATCCTCATCACGTTTAGTCACCTGGTGGAGGCAAAACTATTAAAGTAAGATAAAGATAAGTGTGCCTAATCAAGTTTCTCTCTTGCAAATGATAATTCTGTGGAACTTGTTGCATCATGCCATTTGTGCAAAAGAAGTACACACATATACACACACACAGACACACTTTAAGAATGGACATAACTACCAGATAAAGAAGATTCACAAGTACTTAAGTTCTTTTGTACCTTGAAACAGGAGGCTCTGTAAAGAAGCTGGACAACATGCCCAATGCTGGTTTTAGAAGCCTGAGGAAATCGTGGCTCCAACCTCTGTACCACAAAGAGAACCAAGACTTTTCGAGATAAAGCAGATCCATCTTCTAAAGCTAAAAGAACTAACTTCAGGGCTTCCTCCTGCATCGCTGGAAAATCAAGAGGACCATCACAGGATTAATATAGGATTTTTATAAAGATATTACAAATTCTACGAATTAGCAACTATATTAGGAGTGATAGAAATCTCCAGGTTACATCAGGATCATGCTGGAAAATATGTCATTCCCCTAGAGCATAATTTACTTGCATTAAAAGGAACCAGACAATTTTCACTTTCATATCAATTACTAGTCTGTTTATGACATGGTTTTAAAAATAGGAATGACCGAGTGCAAAGAGAAACCTACAAAAAAAAAATGCTAAAAACCCCAAGTATATTCTTTACTGCAAAACGTTCATCATAGGATTAATTATGCCACTGAATATTTCAGTCCAATATATATTGCGCAATATTTAATACAGGCAGTCGACTTATAACTATTCATTTAAAGACTGTTAGTAATTTTGCTGAGTCACAATAGAGTCACAATAGAACTGAAAAAAGTGACATGACCAATTCTCACACTTACAGCATCCCCAGTCATGTGATCAAATTGTGGGTGCTTGGCAACTGGCATGTATTTATGATGGTGGCATTGTCCTGGGGCAGTGATGGTGAACCTTTTTTGGCTCGCATGCCAAAAGCGGGGGGAGCGCAGGGGGGTTGTGCACGGGTATTCCACATCCATAATGCAGAGGACCCCAGCGCACATGCATGCACGATCAGCGCTTCCCCCCATTTTTGGCATGCTTTTTTCACCCTCCCTATGCTCCAGAGGCTTTATAGGAGCCTGGGGAGGGCGAAAACAGCCTCCCCCCCGGGGGGCTTCAGGAGTTTCCCTGAAGCCTCCGGAGCGCGAAAAACTGGCCCTACGGGCAAACCAAAAGTTCAGCAACGGACTTCCCCTTTGCTCGTAGCACTGGTTTTAGCCCTCCGGAGTCTTCAGGGGCCTTAAGGCAGCTTCCCTGAAGGCTCCGGAGGGTACAAAACAACCGTATGAACAAACCAGAAGTGGGTTCTGGTTTGTCCGTAGGGCCGTGTTTCGTCCTCCAGAGCGTTCATGGGCCTTCAGGAGACTTCCCTGAAGCCTCTGGAGGGCAAAAAACAACCCTACAAGCAAACCGGAAGTGACTTCCTGTTTGTCCCTAGGACCATTTTTCATCCTCTGGAGCCTTCAGGAGGCTTCCCTGAAGCCTCTAGAGGGCTAAAACCAACCTTAGGAGCAAACCGGAAGGTTCCTGAACGCTCCGGAGGGCTAAAACCAGCCCTATAAGCAAACCGGAAGTACATTCCCGAACTTCTGGTTTGCCCGTAGGGCCAGTTTTTAGCGCCTCCAGAGGGCGAAAAAATGGCCTCAAATGAAGGCCAAAGTCAGCTGGCCAGGGCGCACATGCTTCGTGTGCCCTGACAAATGGCTCCGCGTGCCACCTGTGGCATGCGTGTCATAGGTTCACCATCACGGTCCTGGGGTCTTGAGATTGTCATTTGCAACTTTCCTAGGGAGCTTCTGACAAGCAAAATCAATGGGGGAAGCCAGATTTGCTTAACAACCGCATGATTCACTTAAAAACTGCAGTGATCGCTTAACAG